GTATAAATAAATAAATCTTAAAAAAAAATCACTCAGAAATCAGCCACACCTTGAGTCAAAGCCACCTCCTTCAATTTTCTAGATAAATAACCTTGGCTAAATTCCCTAACCTCCCCAAACCTGTTTTCCTCATCCATAAAATGACCACAATCATAACTACCTCACAGTTTGGTTGTAAATAATAAATGCAATTAAATATGTATAGTGTTTAGTGATAATAACATTTACATAACATTTGTTCTGTGCCAGTCACTGATCTAAACACTTGATTTCTATTTAATTCAGCAGACTTTTCACAAGAACTTTATCAATTAGTTACTATTATCATCCTCACCAGGGAACTGAGATTCAGAGAAGAGAAGTAACTTGCCCAAGGTCACACAGCTAATAGGTAGTAGAGAATTAGATTCAAATCCAGGCAGGCAGTCTGATTCCAGAACTGTTTTTAGCCTTGATGGGATACCTGTCCCCTGAGTAAATGTTCAACACTCAAAATCTTCAATTGCATTTAGAAAAGTATTATTTTAAATTTCACTGTTACTTAATTTTGTATCATTTTCTTTTTCATTTTAAGGGTACTTTACTCAAAAAACTAAGATATAGCTTGTAAATAGAAATGCTATATAATACAGCAAGGCAAATAAGCTGTAAATATTAATGATGTCTTGTTGAAGATTTAACTTAGTTTTAGCAAAGAATTGTGTTTGCTTGTTTGTTTGTTTTGGTAATTTTTTTTTTTTTTACTGTGGTAACATTGGTTTACAACATTGTATACACTTCAGGAATACAGGATCCCACCTCTTTAGGTGTATGTTACCACACCATAAGGAACAATGATTTTAATAATGCAAATCACAATAACAATAGAAATAAAAGCTAACAAAAGAGAAACTGAATAACTTCTATGAATACAGAAGTGAGAAATGTCTATCAAAACCACAGGGTTGTGGGGGGATCTGTTTCCTGGGTAGAAGACATGATTTGGTTTTAGAACAAACTGTTTATAATTCTGGCTACTTTTAAATCAAAATGCATTCTTCACAAAACATGATAAAATAGCAAACCATCCTTCTTCAAAATATCAAACCACTGTATTTTCTTTCAATTTTATTTTAAGTAAGGTATTCATAATATGCGAGAAATTGCACCATCTAGTTCAAATTTTCTTTCTTCTCTTGAACACAGAACTCATATTTATTTGTATTTGTCTTCACAAAGCCTATGTGCAGTACACACTTAGGGCGGCCCAGGGCTGGATGCTGAACTATCTGGAAAAAAACACAGCTCTCCTGGAAGACACTCAGAGTAAGGAAATTATAATAATGCAATTGTAGTTCACTGGTAGAATTTCCATAGCTGGCTGGGAAGACATGTGAGGAAAGAGGGAGGAGAGAGGAAGGATACTAATGACCAATAAGCCCATGGCAAAGGCAGGAGGGCTTGGAGAGGGTGGAGGTTTTAACTGATAGTTTCCAAGCGTGTCAAGGGGGGTTCCAGGAGCGGTATGGGGCATGGGACACCTCCAAACCAATGTCTGAAATTTCAATCGTGTAAGGATATTAGACCTGAGAATATCTAAATATGATCAGAGCTACATTTTAGAACATGTGCTGGGTTTCAGTGTCCAATGCAAAACCACACTTAATTGGATTTAGAAATCTGGGGAAATAAATCAGGATGCCAACTGCTGTTGCTGCCACAGGCGAAGGTATAAGCCTCTGAAAAAAAAGCAATGACAATGGAAACTGAGAGCAAGGAAAGGGAACACATTTTTCTCTGTCTCAGATGTATTATTTATTATTAAACCAGAAATGATCAGTACTAATACAATGCTGTTAGTTTGTGCCAGACACTGAAATAGTGCTTTATATGCATTTAATTAAATCACCATATTCTTACAGAAATCGTTATTTTACTATTAGGGATCTAGAGACACACAGTCACACAACTGCTAGGGTGCAGAGTCAAGACCAAAACCCATTTTATCTGCATCCAAAGTTCTTGATTTATTTTTTTGCAAGGGCGTGGGAAGGGACTAAGCACAGCACTGTGAAGGTATCTGCATCTGCTGCAGCAGGAGTTCGATCCCCAGCCAGGGAGATACAAACATGGTGCAGCAGACCTCTCCTGTCTCACCCCTTTCTCCCCCAAGCAGTGCATTTCAGTAGATCTGCCTGTTCTGCTCCCCACTCTTTCTGGTGAACCTGCTCACCCCCTCCCACACCTCTGGTCTGCACCCCCATTTGTGTATGCATAAATAAATAAATCTTAAAAAAAAGTTATTGCTTTTTTGTGCTGTCTGCCCACCCCCTACAGCTTCCAAGTCTTCTCAATTTCATTGACTCCTGAACTTGTAACTTGAATCAGTCCTCCTGTTCTTTCTTTTATATTATTTATTTTTTAAATGAATAGATTTTATTTTTAAGGCAGTTCTAGAATTCCTCCTCTATCTTCTCCTATTCTGAACATCTTGCATTGAAATGGCTCCATTGTGATGACTGATGAGCTGATACTGATACTTTATGACTAGCTAAGGCACAGTTTACCTTAGAGTTCACGCTGCTGAGCTCTATGATTTTAACAAATGTCTGATAACAGCTGTCCACCATCACCACAGTACCATGCAAAGTAGCATCACTGCCTTAAAAATCCCCTGTCCTCGGGCCTCCCCGGTGGCACAGCGGTTGAGCGCTGGGTTGCGAAGCTGCCCGCCTGCGGCCTCTGTGGCGCCTGTTCGATCCCCAGCTGCTCCGGAGGAGGGTCCCACGTGGCGTGCAGACCTCTCCTGCTGCCCGCTGCTCCCCTCAGCAGTGTACTTCGGTCCTTCTGCCTGCTCTGCTCCCCGCTCTGGCTCTGGTGAATTCTCTCACCCTCCCGCACTTCTGACTGTACCCAGTGCATGTATAAACAAACAAACAAATAAATAAATAAAAACATGCCTCTATTAAAAAAAAAATCCCCTGTCCTCTCCGTATTTGCCCATTCCCGACAATGCCCAATCCCCTCTCCTTTCTTAAAAACAAAACCAATGCCCTCTAATCTTTCCAAACTTTCTCTTTCCATGGAATGTAAGTCTTGAACCCACCAACACCTGTCTTTTCACCAGCTATTTTAACCTTCAATTTCAACCACTGGTTTCTGTGCCTTTGGCGCATTTGCGCCTTTGACATTTATGCACACCAATTATCTCTGGGAAAAATGCAAAGTATCTCTCCATCTTCTTTGACCTTATGCTCATCAGAGTGCTTTGCATTCCTAACCACCCCTTCTTTTTTTTTTTTAAAGATTTATTTATTTATGCATACAAGAGCCAGGGTGCAGGCCAGAGGTGCAGCAGGGGGAGGGAGGGGTGAAAGGATTCACCAGAGACAGAGTGGGGAGCAGAACAGGCAGATCTACTGAAATACACTGCTGAGGGGAGCAGCGGGCAAGACAGGAGAGGTCTGCTGTGCCATGTGGGTCACCTCCCCGGCCTGGGATGGAACTCGTGCTGCAGTAGCTGTGGATAGCTTCACAGAGTTGCGACTTAACCCCTTGCACCACAAGGAATGCTCCTAACCACCCTTTATACAGGCTTCCCCATGTGTGGTACAACTTTGCTCTCTGCAGCTCCTTCTCTGTCTATTTAGTTAGTTATTTTCTGATAAAGAAACTGTTGCTGGGCCTCTCTGACGGCGCAGGAGGTTGAGCGCAGTGCTGTGAAGCTGTCCGCAGCCTCTGCAGCATGGATTTGATCCCGACCAGCAGGGGAGCTACCCATATGGCACAGCAGACCTCTCCTGTCTTGCCTGCTGATCCCCTCAGCAGTGTATTTCAGTCAGTCTGCCTGTTCTGCTCCCTGCTCTGTCTCTGGTGAACCCTCTCCCCCTCCCACACCTCTCGCCTACACCCTAGCTCTTGTATGCATACACAAATAAATTGTTAAAAAAAAAAAAAAGACTTCTGCTTCAATGGCTGACTCACAGGTCTGTTTTACCCAGTCTCCCGAAAAATGCCTTCCCTGTTGAGCCTGTGTCCTTCCCAGGGGAGCAGCTCCTTCTGCAGGCAGCGAGGAAATGCACCAAGGGCTCATTCTGCTGTGAGCTTTGCTCTTTCGCCTGACTTCCATGTCCCCAAGTGCTGCGATTGCTTTGTTCATGAAAATAAATACCAGCTAGGTATTAAATTTACAGAATTAAAACTGAAGCCTGCAAGTGATAATGCAAAAAGAGAGACAGGCAGACAGACAGACAGAAAGACACTAGACAAGACACCAAGCCAGAGGACTATCCCTGGCTGAGTGCATCTGAGCACACAGCTCTTACTCAAGTTCCTGGAGGGCAGGGAGCCTCCAGAGCCTCCAGAGCTCCTATGATTCAACAAATAAGCATTTCATTGAGCCAACAATTCACCAGGCTCCCAGCAACTCCATTAATCCTGTGGAGTCCTTGCTGACAGCTCTCGTCGGGCACTCTCCAGTTGACAAACAACCCATCCTGATAGGAAAGATAAGCGCCAGCAAAGTTCCTACGTCCCAGCCTTGAAATGACAGGCTGCAGAGGGCTCCGGGCAGGGTTCCCTTCTGGTCTCCAGTATCTGCACAAGGTTGTGAAAACCACCACAAAGTGAAAATCACTGGTGTGCCATGCCCCTGCTCCAACCCCCGCTCCGTCCTCAATAGCCAAGACATGGGGATTCAGTTCAAAACTTAGATGCAGAGGAAAAAGCAGCATCCCGTGTGAGTGTGTGTGTGCGTGTGTGTGTGTGTAGGGGAGCCACTGGGAAGGAAGGGGCCATCTGATCTGGAAACAGTCACCTCCCCGCCTGTCACGCCGCCAGAGGTGCTGGAGCAAAGGCTGGACCTGCGCTCGGCTGCTGGCCAGGAAGGCAAAGATCGATCGCGCAGCCGGCGCGCAGCGCGCCCAGCCAGGTGACACAGTCGTGGGTTCCTGGCGCGGCCCTGACAGCCTCATCCCCGCCCACTCGCAGGGCGCCCGCGCGCGCTGGGGGCCATAAAAGCGGCGGCGAGGCCCGGACGCCGACTGCCCACCGCGGAGCGCGGCGACCATGCACGTGAACGGCAAAGTGGCGCTGGTGACCGGCGCGGCGCAGGGCATCGGCAGAGCCTTCGCCGAGGCGCTGCTCAACAAGGGCGCCAAGGTAAGCGCGGCGCCGGGCCGCCCCAACTTGTCTGCCACCCCCCAACCCGACCCCCGAGATGCGCCCCACCGGCGGGGGGGCTCCCGGGGAGAGGGACACGCTGCGCCCCAAGTGCCCACCTTGCCGCTTGCAAAAGCTGCCAGGCAGACGCTCCTGAGCAGACCTGGAAAGCGGCCGGGAGGGAACCCGAACTTTAATTGCGGGATTTCGGGTCCCAGCGAGGAGCGTCGGGTGGGTTATCGTCCGTCTGTCTGTCGGTCTGCTTGTCTGCGTCCCCAGCTGCGCAGGACCTCGATTCCTCTCCTCTTTTGTGTCCAGGTAGCGCTGGTCGACTGGAACTTTGAGGCAGGTGTAAAGTGTAAAGCTAGCCTGGATGAGATGTTTGAGCCTCAGAAAAGTATATTCATCCAGTGCGATGTGGCTGACCAGCAACAGCTGAGAGGTAAGAGAGGGAGGGGGTCGGCCCTGCGGCGCAGAGCGCGCCCCTGGACAGGCGGGGTCCTGGAGGCAGCCCCAGGGCAGGCAGCGGCTGCCCCGCGGGAGCAGCTACCTCTCAGCTCCAAAAGAGAGCTCAGGCTGTTGTTGCTGCTGACATAGAAACTAGGAGATGGGGGAAAGCCAAGGCAGCTTGAGAAATCCTCTTATTTAAGTCTTTTGGCAGCACATAATGTAATCAAAATTCCTTTGTGTGCTCAGAGGCAGCGCTGCTGCAATAATTGTTAAGTGATTGAAAAGGCAGATGGGACTTGCAAAGTTAAGCTGGGTTAAGAGACAGTGACAATTTCTCCCAGAGAACTGGAAGACACGGAGTCAAGGGAAAATCAGCTGGGGCAGGGCTTGACTTTTAAACATACTTGAATGCAAGATCAAGGACCATCATCCCAGACGTGCTGGATGCTTTTAACCAGATGTTCTCTTGACTTGTCCCCTGTGAACTGGTGCTTTAAAAATAATAGCTGTACCGCAGTGTTAGAATAGCAGAAGAAAAGTTTCTATCAGATTTTCCTCCATGCTTTCCTGTTTCCGCCCACTCACTGAAAATAGAGCAACCTACCGGGTGAAATATCAGGGACAATATTGGCAAGGGCAATAGACAGATTTGATTATCTAGAGACCCAGTAGCTTTGAATCAAAAAAATACTTTTTCTGGGAAAAGAGTAGAAAAATAAAATATTTGTATTTCACACAGTTTTGTTGAAAGACTGAGTAAATAATGAGTGTGCACATCTTTAATTAAGGACCACAGGACTTCCATAAAAGTGTCTCTAGTACTTCTGCTCTTAAAAGAACACTGACATGGGAATTTCTTTAAATATTTTGGGACATTCTGTTCAAGAGGGAGAATGGAGCAGTATGTTAGGAAGGAGTGTCCCCCTACAGTGAAGGGAGATTGTTTTAAAGGAAGTTATGTAATTAAAATCTGAAAATGCTAATAAAGACCTGACATGGATTACCAGCATGCGTAGAAGACATGTGTAATCACAGTGCTAATGGAAGATATTTTGCCAGAGGAAAAAGTTGCATGGATGGCACCTGATTTTTTAGATCAAGGATAAAACCATGTCAACCCCCAGCACCCAAGCTGATGAAAGAAGCAGTAGTACAGATCATCTGAAAGATATTTCTGCCTGAATTTATGTCACTTCATATGTGACATTTAACCTTCATTGTTTTGCTTCCCAGTATTTAAAATTAGTACCTTGGCTGTAAACACATTCCTTAAGGATAAGTGATTGTGGAGGAGGAAGCTCAGACACATAATGAGTGACCAGGAGAACGCATGTTGGTCATGAGAAATCCACATGTTGTCTGAACATCAGCAGTTCTTTGCAGGGAAGGAAAACGTGGCATTGATTCTTACAATTTCAGGATGTAATGCTGCCTCCAACTTTTGAAACTGTTTAGACGTGTAGCCAAGGGATGCTTTATTGAAATCATAAAAATACAGAGGTATAAAGGTTCTTGGAGATGACCTAGACATAAGTCACTTTACAAAATGCAACACAGAGAATTTAGGTACAAAGTACCATAGCATATAAATGTTGGTGAGAGCGAGATTTTAAGTCCCTTGAGCCCATAATTCAGTGGTATGTCAGAAAGAAGATGTGTTTTACACAGTGGTGAGGGCAGAGCATAAGGAATGCAGTGGAGACCAGAATGAGGAAAGAAAATTAAAGAAGCAATTAGACATGTTTATTTAACAACCTAATTTCCTATGAGGAACACATTGAAGAGTAGAACATACTTAGGATTGAATGTGAACAAAAAAATAGTAATCCTCAGATGTTTTCTCCTGGAGGACCTTTTCTGGAGTCAATTTGAGATTTTAAGAAGCAGTTTTAAAATCCCATGAAAAACTAAACCATTTTTATTTGTTGTTACTGTTTTCCATTCCATTCCAGTGTGATAAAGTATACTATAAAGAATGCACAATTTTTGACAATTGACTTTCATGCCAGTTCATCCATTTGGGAACTGATTCATCCATGCCCTGCTCAATATGCCTGGGCATTTTTAATAATTACATGACTTTTTTTCCAATCAAAATAAAGGTAGTATGGATCTGCTTTTTTCAAGGGACTCTTTTGTTGACCCTAAGACTTGAGAACATATCTCTGTCATTTGGAAGAAGAACCACTACTGTTGTCTAGAGTCTCAAGTAATAGAATTAGAACCCAGTAAAAAGCCAGGAAAGCATTTTAAATCAATGGAACCATGTAAAAAAGCAGCTTTGAGAAATACTGAGTTTCTCAATACAAAAGTGGTGAAGCCCGGTTTCGGCTGGCGGAAGAGCCTAGGACAGTGGGGGTGGGACAGAGTAATGAGTCACCTGCCAACCTCAGAAGCTATGCAAAGCAGACCCTGGTTGGCACAGCTTTTATACAAACTAAAATACAAAGTAGCAGTAATAATAGAAAGAATGAAATAACAAATATAGACATGACCCTAAGCAAATAAAATCAACTGACTGAAGAGTAGGATCTCAAAGCTCCCTGACATGATCAGAATAGACCTGAATATACAAGGAGTCTTCTGTTTAATATCACACTTGATGAAGACAATATGTTGGTTTTTTTTTACTTTAAGATTTATTTATTTATGCATACAAGAACTGAGCTGTAAGCCAGAGATGGGGGGGGTGAGAGGATTCATCAGAGAGAGCAGAACAGGTGGAGCTACTGAAATGCACTGCTGAAGGGAGTAGTGGGCGAATCATGTGGGTAGCTCCCTGGCTGGCCGGGGATTGAACTCGTGCTGCAGAGGCTGCGGACAGCTTCAGAGTGCTGTGCTTAACCCCTTGAGCCACGAGGGAGGCCCCACTGGTTTATTTAGAAGGGTATTTGTCATCATTTAAGCCTCAGAACTTCTCAGACATCTGCTGACTGCGGAAATTAGTTTCCAAGAGCTCTTAGCTTAGAATGCACAGTTCTTTAAAATTGACGCCTGAAGTTGGGTGTATAGAACTTTAACTGTGTACAAGGCATCTATGGGCCCTACTGAAGTTCAAATTCAGGCTCAGTAGGTCTGTGCTGGCCACAGGTTCTGCATTTCCAACAAGGTCCCAGGTGGGCTACTTGTTTCTCTGGGTCCTCAGACCACACACAGTTTGAGAAGCAAAGCATGAAGTCCCCGTCAAAGAGTGTAATTTGCACTAAGCAGGTGGATAAATGAAAATTCACTTCAGCTTGTTGGATATGATTTACGTGTATATAAAAAGTAAAACTGTATCTGTAATGTCTTTTTTTTTTTAACTAGAAACCTTTAGAAAAGTTGTAGACCACTTTGGAAAATTGGATATTTTGGTCAATAATGCTGGAGTGAATAATGAGAAAAACTGGGAAAAAACTCTGCAAATTAATTTGGTAAGCTCTCTTAGCCATGTTTTTTTTTTTTTTGCCTACAATTATTTAATAAAATGATATTTTTAAAGGAAATAGTGGTTCTTACATTCTTAGTCCCCATGACCTACAATATAGAGAAAAGAAAGCTACAGAGACTGGAAAAAGGAAGAAGCATCTCCTTTAAGCAGTAAGACACTTGAAACTTAATTATCAGAATAAATCTGGCTTAAAATATTAAAAGTAAATGTGAAGGAAAAAAAACATATGATATATTGCTTAACTCTGGACGTGGCAAACTATGACCCATGGGCCTGACTTGCCTGGCACCTACTTTTGAATGACCCACAATCTAAAAATGGGTTTCACATTTTTTCAATGACTGGAAAAAATATAAAAGAATACAAAATATTGAATTTACTCATTCAAATTTCAGGGTGTAAAACCTTATTGGATTATTGTTATTCCTTTACATACTGAGTCTAGGGACTTGCACATTTCAATGGCAGAGGTGAATCTGAGGGAGACACCATGGTGAGCAGTGCCTGAAAGATTTACTACCTCTACCTATATAGAAAAAAATTGCCAACCCTCATTTGCTTTATTTAAAAAATAAATCTTAGTTTTATTTCAGGAATATAGGAGAAATAACTGTCAGTAATTAGTAAGATTCTTATCCTCAAAGTCAGTATGTGTATGTAATTTCCATCGTGTTAGGTGATTATGTAACTCTTGTGTAGATTATAAAAATGCAAAATTAGGAAATAAAGTTGATCTTATACATTGTATCACAGAGTTTAGGGTTATCCCATTTTGTAGACACACTTGACATAAGATTCTGGGGCTCAGTAAAATTCAAATCTCACTAAAGTAAAAGGTCAGGACTGGACTGTGCCTGAGGTCACCCTCAGGCCATCCCCACTAGTCTTGCTAAGCAAGTTTGTGTAAATACAGAGGGGACACTGTGTGTGTGTGTTCTTCCAGGGAGTGACCTCTTACTTCGTGATATCCTCCCAGAAGCTTATAAACTCCTTAAAAACAGGAACCATGCTATGTTCTTTCTTCCTCTCTCAGTAATCAATGCCATATCTTGAAGATAGTGCAGTCAATAAATGATTGACTTTAATCGGCAGTCCCATGAGTCATACCTGTATAAATAACTTGATGTGAATAATGAGAATTATTCTGTCTCATAAAGGAGCAGAATCTGTAAGTGCCACTTTAATAAGGGTACAAAGTTGCTCCCCAAACTTGACAGATGCCTAAAATCCTTTGATCGAGAACAAAAGGTACTATTTTAAAAGTACCTTCTTTGCAGTTCTTTTTGAAATTCATCTCAGCTTTTCCTGGATATCATTATATTTCAAAATAACTCTAAAACCTGTTTGTCAAGCTTCCTTTGAAATCTTCCTGGAGTGTGTGTGTGTGTTTGTGTGTATGTTAGAAAGACCTGCCAAATGCTTTTCCTGAGTTGAGTCAATTCTATGATATTCCTTTACTTTAGACTAGTAATATAGTAAAATATGAATGTAATATATCTGACTGTGAACAACATTTATATCTCTTGGTTGAATGTAAGTTTGCCACTCTATAAAAAAATCTACATTTTCTTCTATCTCCTTTTTTACTATCTACATTTCTACCATCTTGTTTCATTACAAGGTAGGTTCCTCTGCCCTGGTCTACCTACAATGAGGAGTGGAGGAAATGGAAACATTGGTGTCAAATATATTTATAATTTTAACAGCAAAAATTTCATACTATGTTTTTCTAACATTTCTTTTTATATATAATCTGGGATAAGGAAGAGATTGTTACAGTAAAGAGGAAGATGTCATGTATGTAAGGCCAATGCATGAGAGCTTGTCTTGTAGATTTATCCCAAGAATATTTTCATTTGAAAAGTTATTCAGTTTTAATCTGATAATGGATTGGAAAATAATCCTTTGCATTCCTCCAACAAAGACCTGGAAACAAATCTTGCTTTAAAAATAAACGTTCACGTTCCCAAATTTTCTATCTGATTGCATCTTATAGATTTTGAAAACACAAAAATGGGATGTCAGCAAAGTTGTAATACCTGAGAATAAAGCATTGAGCCAATGTGCATGAACAGAAATTCTGTTCAGACACGCTGGAGACTTGGACAGAAACTAAGACTTCAGTAATTTCAGCCATCTACATTTTTTCCTTCTTATATAAACCATTCATGTTTTGTTTTTTTTTTTTTCTTTTTAAAGGAAATCATGTGAAGGTTTTATTCATTTTCCCTAAGCTTACTTAATAACAAATTGGCACTCGCTTAAGCGAATATAATCTCCACTTTTTTTGTTCTAGAACTGCTATTAGGTAGAGAGGCAACTTTGAGAGCTTGTCAAGAAAACTCGAGGAGAATTTTTCTTAAATAAAAATGAGGTAAACACCAACATGTGCCCCAGTGTCAGTCTCATTAATTATCTAGGGTGTCGTTAACTTTGTGGTCTTGTAAAGAATCAAAAAAGTGGGTTTGAAGATGTCCAAAGGAAATTTTCACCTCTTAAAAGTCTGTATTGGAAAGGAAAGGAGTTTCTAAATCAAAAGGAGGAAACAGGGTTTCCAATACAAGTTTCATATCGCCAGTTGGTTTTGGCTGTGGTGAATCCTGAAATGTCAGAATAAAGCAGGAAAACAGTCAACACTTAGAATTGGGTAGTAAAAGAATAAACTAACAAAACTATTCATCACTAGAGTGAGCAATGAGGAACAAATTTCATTGTTTGACATTACTGAAGACCCTGTGTCCAGAAATCTCCCACAGAAAACCCACCATCAAGCTAGGTAAAACAGTTATGTGATCACACACAGCACAGAGTTCAGGATAACTAGATAGGGCAGCTCCATGATATTAGAGCCCAGTTTCTTTTCATTCTCCCACCTGCTATCCTTAAGGGTAGCTTCATCTGAAGATGTTCTGTTAAACCCATGCAAAGCAATATAAAGGGAGGAATCATTTCTTCTCAGCAGCAACTTCTTTCATGAGTCCTCCCGGATACAGACCCCCATCCTCCAGCTGACTGCTCCTCAGGTCTGTGTGGGGAGAAAGGGAACACTTGCTGGCTCCTAACCCTGTTAGTAGGAGAATGAGATTTCTATGACTGAACTAGATGAATCAGTGTCTACACTAAAACTAGGGAGATCAGCTCCCTCTGTATTAATTACATGGGGAAGAGATAATTAAGCAGGCTAAATGCATGTAGAATCATATGCTAAGAAGGGTAAATAAATTTTACCTCCATCTTTTTTAAGAAAACATATAGAGTTCCTGAAGATGCTGGAACTGAGTTACAGCAGTAAAACATATTGACAATTGGAATATCCCCTTTTTCATAAACTCTCTTACTGGTCAACTAAATGAAGTCAAGTTTTGCTGAAATGTGATAAAATCTGCAACTATTACCTAACAAGAGAGAATTTGGGTCAATGACTAGCTTTAAAAAGAATTTCAAAATCTTTTTTATTAATATTTGTAAATGTTGGTAATAGCGCGAAAATCTCCTACAGTGTCTGAAATAACAATGACAGCTTTAGTGTGCGATTATATGATATAGTATAATGTCTAAGTTGCTTTTCCCATTTGTGCCTTTGGATTAGGTGTCTGTTATCAGTGGAACCTATCTTGGTTTGGATTACATGAGTAAACAAAATGGAGGTGAAGGCGGCATCATTATCAATATGTCCTCTCTAGCAGGTGAGAACAATTGTTATGCTATTAATTTCTGGTTGGTAACTTGAGCCACAATAGTCAATCTTCAAAATACTGTTTATTCTCATCTCAGGTTTGAAACTGAAACCGAGTTTAATTTTATTTTTTTTATTTTTGTTTAGTGGTCCTATGGAATGTCCTATTGCATAATATCAAAAAGTTGAACGACACAATTATTTCTATCATTTTAAATTGTGATTTTTAAAACAATCTTGCTGCAGGACAATTTTCAAAAAGTGTTTACATGTTTTCCTAGTGTTTCTGTTTTTCAAAGGTGGTTGTAACATTCCTAAGCAGCAATGTGTGTAAAAGCTGTTTTGACCAAGTAAAAAGTACTAAAACAAAGTAAAGGTATTTCTATTCCCATGTGATTATGATAAGCACCTGTACTTTTAAGATAAGTTGGGATGTGCTGCAAGGAAGCCAAACTTCACCTCTACTCTCTTTCTCCAATGTAAGCTCCTGTGTTTAAAATTGTTATCCTTGTGTGTGGTTTCATGCTGAATTCTGTGTAGTTGATCTATGTGTAGTTTTCATTCCAATGCCAGGCTTTTTATTTTTTTATTTTTTATGAATTATTTTATTTTATATAATTCTTACATCATTTTTCATTTTTGCACAATGTATGCATTTTCATTTTGGTTATAGTCCCTATGCAATTCCCACCCCCTTTTTCTTTTTTTTTTTTTAAAGATTTATTTATTTATTTATTTGTTTCTACAAGATTGATTGATTGATTTATACAAGCACTGGGTACAGTCAGAAGCACGGGAGGGTGAGAGAATTCACCAGAGCCAGAGCAGGGAGCAGAGCAGGCAGAAGGACTGAAGTACACTGCTGAGGGGAGCAGCGGGCGGCAGGAGAGGTCTGCGCGCCATGTGGGACCCTCCTCTGGTGGCCGGGGAGCAGCCAGGGATCGAACCGGCGCCGCAGAGGCCGCGGGCAGCTTTGCAACCGAGCGCTCAACCGCTGCGCCACTGGGGAGGCCCCCACCCCCTTTTTCTGACCCTAATCCCTCTTCTCCTCCCCCTGCACCCCACTGTAGTGTGTCTCTGGCCTATAGTTGCTTGTCGATTTTGATTTTTACTTTGTATTGATTAGTCTTTTTCCTGGTCCCTTATTTAGGTTTTCTAAATTCCTGCTATGAGTGAGACCATCTGGTATTATTCTTTTCCTTTCTGCAATGCCAAGCTTTTTATATTAGTATCACTTTATAGTGTAGTTTGAAGTCATGGAGCATGATACGTCCATTTTTGTTTGTTTTCTCAGGCCTGCTTTTGCTATTTGTGGTCTTTATAGTTCCAAATAAATGCCATGACTTTTGTTCTACTACTCTGAAGAATGTGTAGGGATTTTAATAGGAATTGCATTGAAATTATATGTTGCTTTAGGTGATATAGCCATTTCAATGATGCTAATTCTTCTAATTCATAGATGAAGTACTTTAACAAGACCTATTTGTAGAGTTTTCTCTAGCTTTAACTTGCTGCCTCCAGTGATAAGAATGTTTCCTCCTCGGTTAGAGATGGCACGTTTTACATAGGGGTTTTAGCTCTCCAAGTCAGACTGTGCTTCTTACCTCATCTGTTTTTCTAGTACTGTGGCTCAAAATGATTTCTATGCTGAAGTGATCTATTTTGGTGTGGCCTCTTCTGCTGCTCTTCAAGAGCAAACTGCTAATAGAACCAAACATAATGGCTTAAATAGAGTATTAGCTTACTTGTGATTCATATATTAGCCCCGGGCAAGATTCTTACAGCAGGGAACCTCTTCTGTATGTAGTCACTTGGAAAACCAGACTGGCGGAAGCTCTGTTATCTTCAACATGGTTGAAGATTACCATGACACCAGGTTACCAGGTTACTCTGGCACTGGTGGACTTCTTTCCCTCCAATAGAAAGAGAACATGGAAGAGACATAGCTACTCTTTCAGAGTCCTCAACCCCACAATGACAAACCTCACAGCTTCTCACATTTGATCATGTGGCTCACCTAACTGCTAGGAATTCTGGGAAATGAAATTGAGCTATGTGCTGAAGGAGAGACTTGACTCCAGTGGGCAGTTCATCATCTTTACCAGTTCTTCATCCAACTATGCTTTATACAGGGCAGTAGAACTTAATATCAGATGATAATATATTGCTCAAAAGTAGCTACAAATCTTTGGCAGAAACCTTTGGAGAAATTTAAATGGATTCTTTTTTTTTTTTAAAGATTTATTTATTTATTCATACAAGCACTGGGTACAGTCAGAAGCATGGGAGGGTGAGAGAATTCACCAGAGCCAGGGCGGGGAACAGAACAGGCAGAAGGACCGAAGTACACTGCTGAGGGAAGCAGTGGGTGGCAGGAGAGGTCTGCGTGCCATGTGGGACCCTTGCCGGTGGCCGGGGATCAAACCGGTGCTGCAGAGGCTGCGGGCAGCTTCGCAACCCAGCGCTCAACTGCTGCGCCACCGGGGAGGCCCAAAGAATTTAATCTTTAAATTCTAGAAAAGAAATTGTCAATGGCTCTTGTGAAGTGGCTCAAGTGAAATGATGAAGTTTTAAAAGTCTGATAAACACTGGTAGCAAATCAAAACTATTCGTATCCAAAAATAGTGAGACTTTCTTAAATGATCTGTTGGTGTGATTATTTCAGAATAGGTGTTCTCCATTTCTCACTCTGTCCTCCACCTCCCTGCTCCAGCAGCATTTGAGGAGTCACGATTGGAGGTAACTGTCTCCACACCAATGTCTGATTCTCAGCATTTTTCTTTCTCTTTTGGGAATCATTGTCAGGTCATCCTTAAACCACTGTAAACCTGCCACCAGTGGAGACTTAAAAATCTCCTTCTTTAGAAGTTCTCAAAAATTGACTAGCATCTCGTTTTCTGGACTACTTAAAGATAAAATGACATCCCTGAAAGTATACGAATCTAATCTAATAAGTCATTCAGGGTAATCTGGCTATTTTTCCTAATGTGACATGTGCTTATAAATGATAACATATCATTACCACAAATCATACACTGAAAGATAAAAGTGTAGACAGAAGTTGGAAAACATATTTACCTCCAGAGAGGGTCAAATTATAGATTCTATCAGGCTAAAACCCTGAAAGCAAGTTGTCAGGGCTAAATCTATACTATTTGGAAATAAAAACAGTCAGGAAAAGATGTCTAAATTATTGGCGAATTAAGAAGAAATAGCTAACATTATATCAAAATATAACTTCAAAGAAAATCTAGGGTGGTGATCAAGAGATAATGCCATGGATCCTCTGCTAGTTCTAAAAAACAAGCAAAGTTTTGAGAACCATGTACACTATGTAAATGTCTTGCCTTTCTGCTACTAATGGCACTGAGCCCATTTCATTCTTAAGAAGTCCATGAAATCTGAAGACCTCAGGGTTGGTTGGATTTAGGAGAGAAATTTTGTACTACAAGAGTAGGCTTTCTAGGGCTTCCCTGGTGGCTCAGGGGCTTAGGACACAACCTATGAACCTGACTGCAGCCACTGCAGCAGGAGTTCGCTCCCCGGCCAGGGAGCAACGCACAATGTGCAGCAGACCTCTCCTGGCTTGCCTGCTGCTCCCCTCAGCAGTGTATTTTGTCAGTCTGCCTGTTCTGTTCCCCACTCTCTCTCTCTGGTGAATCCTCTCAACCCCCACACCTCTGGCCTGTACTCCAGCTCTTGTATGCATAAATAAATAAATCTTTAAAAACAAAAAGAGAGAGTAAGATTTCTAGTCTCAAAGATCTTGGGTAGAGAAATGCAATAAAGTATTGATTTTTCTTCAATTGTTTTTAATCGGTAAGGACAAGGAACATTATTGAGCACTCACTATTTTAAGCACTGTATATGCAATAACTCATTGAGTCCTCAAAGCAACCCAGTGAAGCAGATTCTGTTATTTCCATTTTGCAGATGAGGAACCAAGATAGGAAATTTAAGTACTTACACTTATTTTATCTTGCACTTAAACTTACAGCAAGTACGCAACAGAGCTGCAATTTACAAGCTGGCCTCCTGACCCCTTACACCTTAACCACTAGTTATCTAAGAGTTTGTTCTAACCGTGTCTATCTTAAACCTAACTATAAAGTAGAAGAAACTGATTCCCCAGAACTTGATTTAGCAAGTGTAATATGCTAGTATCTTCAGTTCTCATTCCTGGACACTGTTTTAATCTCAAGACAACCTACTAAATTTTCAGTGAAATAAACTTATGCCCCATTTGATTCATGACTAAAGTCCAGAAAACATCTGGGGAGCTTACCAAAGTTACATGTCAAAGATGCTATTGTGAAGAGCAGTTTAGGGATTATAATTAGATGCCCATTTTGCTCTCTTGACAAAGAGTTTCCTTTAGCAGACTCCCCACTCTTAGGTGTTAAGTCTCTTCTTACCTATCTCAAAGCCATGTGCAGCCATATTTGGAAACATGTGCAGCCATATTTGGAACCGTCATGTATATAAAACAATGATTAGATATTAATTTAATGAGATAATCACTTTGGTTTTAAATTATCTTTGCACACTGTTAGTTCAATAATTATGGTAATATCCACTGCTCCTCCACCTGCTGTACCTCCCACAGAATGGGTAACTCTATCATGGCACGTAATTTATATTTGGCATCATTTTCATTATGAAAGGAGGCAGTTCCCCTTCAAAACACCTGATCTTCATATCTGGTCACTTATACTGCCTCCTTGTTACCCCTGGAGCATCTAGACAGATCCTACTACCTCTTCTTGTACCCAAGACTTTGCCACTAAGGTGCCTTCATCTCAGAGAGAATATTAAAATATATTGTCTTATTTTTCATCCACTGATAAAGACTTTTAATTCTTCACATAGTGATATTAGTTAGATAAACAATCAGGATTTTGTAATACAAGAAGATAAATGAGGATCTCTCAGTCTTAACACTTTTCTCAGAATTTTGAACAGTTTCATTCTCCATAGGTCATAGCCTGTTGGTAGAAGACACCAAAAAGT